GGCTCCAATCTATTGGTTTAGGATACTGAATATCCTGCAAACACAACAAACACATCTGTGTTGGAAGCATAGCCACCATGTTCCTTAAAATTGAGGCTTCTGGAACTTCGTCTCACAGATTTTGGGTGTATTATCAGGAGGGCCCAGTCCCTGGAGAAGGTAAAGGAAAGGGTCAGTGAAAGAGGATCCTTAATGAGAAGGATTGACACAGTGGCTGCAACAATGGGTTCAAACAAAGCAATGACCGGGGGGATAACACAAGGCCAAGTAGTTTTACATTTTGTTGTACATTGAATCACTGGGAAGTAGACTAACTCAGAGTTAGCTAACAGTGAACAGCACTAAAACACATAAATGTCATCCCTGAACATAAGAGAAGGTTAATGGCAAGAAGACCTGGCAGTAGCCAGACTTGTGGAAGGAGGAAACTCGTCCAAGAATGGCAACCCAGTATTATCCTTGAATTGAGAGAAATGAAAAGTGCTAGGCTGTGGCCTGTCAAAAGTTAGTGGACCTGGAAAAATGGGCAGGCCAGTTGAGTGTCTGCTCTCACTGCATCTGACCTTTACGTTGCCGTGGCTTCTAATTCTACACTGCAAAGGATTGATGGGCTTCACGAGGTACCCCAAGAACTAACAGGGAAACAATATCGATATAAAGGCATCTGTGCCTTCTGAGTAGACGTAGGTTATTGATTTGAAATGTGAAATTAAAGCAGAATGAGGAAGGCCCCGTGTTTTCCTGGGAGGTGGAATGCCCCCCCTGCGCCTTCAGAGAGGTGAAGGAAAAGTTATATCTGACTAGGTGTCCTTTTTCAAAGTTTAATGTTTAAAGGTTTCCAGGTGGACTGCAAAAAAAGGACCAATTCATTGTTCATTATGCCAAATGGCACAGGCTCATTTACAGGGCTGACATTAGGGTTTTTATATAGTAATAGCCGGCATGATGAAAGGATTTTAAATGACATTTTCCCTTTAGGGACGAGGCTTCCTCAGGAAAAAAAAACTCGATTAATTTCTTCACTACGTAAGTTAAAGCCAATGCTTGAAGACTCCTTATGGGAATAAATGGTTTTGATTTTTCTCCCCAGAAACCAAATTCTGTCCGCATCGATCAACTGGATCGTGAACAGTTCAACCCCGACGTGATTACTTTTCCAATTATCGTCCACTTTGGGATACGCCCTGCACAGTTGAGTTATGCAGGAGATCCACAGTAAGAAATCTTCAGTGTTTGTCTTAACCGCTTCCACTTTCTGCTGACAGCTGGGTGAGCAGAGGAGTCACCTGCAGTGAATGCTTTTCTTTTTAAAAATTACGACATGAGATAAGCCACGTTTCCAAATGAAACGAGTTCTGATAGCGTCCAAAGAATTCTTTCTTTCCTCCACATCTTTGGCTACAGTAAACTATTACTGCATACAGTTTTGCTGACAGTGTTCGTCACAATGAGTCCTGTATGTTTTCATCTTTCAAAAG